GAGGAGCAAACATGGATCAGGGGGGCATGGATTAGCGACGTGTCCCGTTCCCATGGGAAATTTCGGATTTCCGCCGCCGAACGAGGCGGCACCGGCCGCATTTGGGGGAGGGCACCTGGGCACCTCCCCCGATCTATGGATTTGGCGACCGCGCGCCGAATCCATGGATCGCTAATCTGATCCACTCCCTTTTTCAAGGGAGGAGCAACCACGCAGACCGGACAACTGGCGTTTACTACACGTCCCTGGGCGTTTATTGAACAGCCTCGCCCTGCTTGATTCCTTCTTTACGCGCGTTTACTAGACGGTTTCGCGTGGCGGGGTGGTTAGTCTCGGGGTGGACGTTCTGCCCTCCATTCTTTTCTCCCTGATATCGTTCAATCCTGCCTCCCAAGTCTGCAGTGCAGGCCCTCTCGCCGGCGTGCTCCTCCCGTCAGGTGAGGTGGCGCCAGACGGCGCTGAGCCCACTGTACGCCCTGAGCGCCCCCTGGCAGGAGTCGGGCGAGGCGAGTCACGACGCCTACTCGTATGAGCAAGGAGCCAGATCGGCTCGCGGGGGGAATCCCAGGAGGAGGAGGAGGAGGAGGAGGAGCAGGAGGAGGAGGAGGAGGAAAAGGAGGAGGAGCAGGAGGAAGGGCATGATGAGCAGTTGCAGGACGAGGAGCAGGAGGAGGAGCAAGAGGAGGAGCAAGAGGAGGAGGAGCAGGAGGAGCAGGAGGAGGAGGTGAAGGGACCTCCTGCGCCGCTGAGACTGCACGAAGATGATCAGATCTTGAGTTTTACACTGTCCGCGCGGTCTGTTTTTCTACTTGATGGCTATCGGAAGACGCAGCGGCCATTCCGCCAGGGTCTGTGCAACCAAGATGCAGGAGAAATGGTAGAGGGGGGATTCTTCCCCAGAGTACAACGAACGCTTGTTGTCGAAAATCTGGATCAAAAAGCTGTGGCGCTCTCATTCCGGCAACAGTTCTCTGCCTATCTCGTTGATTGTGTTGCTTCAGTAACCGCGCTTGCTGCCTCAGCTCTCAGCGGCGAACGCCTGATGCCGACTTATGTTTTCTCCGAAGGCCCTTTTCAACAGTGTCGGTGACGCCCTCTCCGCGCGGTACACACAGACACCACTGGAACGATAGCGCGATTCCCAGTTGAATCGCGAGGAGAAAAACCGAAGCGAGAGCGCGGTTCTTTATCGTCCAGGGCGCGGCGTTTGAATAGATTGCGAGGAAGTCCCACGCGAGAGCGCGATTCCTGTGTACATTGCGAGGAAGTCCCGCGCGAGAGCCCGATTTGGGAAACACTTGTGAGGAAGTATCAGGAGAGAATTGTTGTTGTTGCTGTTGTTGTTGTAAGTCGGGGGCCGAGGGCGCAGTTTGGTGACCTCACATTGTCTTTTTTATGTTCCATCTTTTAATATCTTTTTTTATGTTCCACCTTTTAATAATAAAAAAGGTGCGAACCCCCGAAGGACCACTTGAATTAAGGTATACAACGGTTACCGGAAGGGGGGAATCAACAGCAATTATTCTTTAGGAGAAGTCAACAGCAATAACAAGAGCATCGACGACGACGGCGACAAGAGCAACCGTCAGTTTAAGACTGCTCGCTCTTACCTGCTCGCGCTCCATTCAACACGTACATCCCAAACCTTCGGTTCCCGCCCTCTTCGTGCTCGATTGTGAAGAGAGGACGGATGGAATGGGGAGGCAGAAAGATGGAACACGGGATTAGCAGGAGGGGGTCAGGAGCAGAAAACACGTGGCAGAACCAGACGGGCCCATCGGGCGGGTAGACTCTTACGGGCGGGTCGGGAAGGCGGGCCCAAGCGGCAAAGGTGAAAAGGCGAGTTGCGGAACCGTGCGTATTTCATGAATCGCGAGGAGAGCTCGAGCGAAAGCGCGATTTCCACGTAAATCATAAGAACGTCCAACGCGAGAGCGCGATTCCTGCATAATTTGTGAGGAAGTCCCGCGCGAGAGCACAATTTCACAGGCACTGACGAGAAAGTACCAGGCATGAGCTGTTATTGTTGTAACTCGGGGGCCAGGGGTCTAGTTTGGTGACCCCCAGCTTGCACTGGTGAAATACACACGGTGCGAGCCCCAGGAGGGGGACATCAACAATATTCGTTCTTTAGACGTGAGACTTCAACTATAGCAACATCAACGACAACGACAGCGACAACGACAACAGCAACAACATGAATCAGATAATTCGCTCTGATCTGATCGCGTGTCATTTAACCCGTATGCCCCAAGCCCTCGATGCCCCCCCTGTTCGTCTTCGATCGTGCCACTTTAGGGGCATATTTTTCTTACCTGCCACGTGTACTTCGTGCAGCCCGTAAGGCACGGGAAGAGAGGACGGATGGAAGAAGGGAAAGGGGGGAGTGAGGACGATAAAATACGAGTTAGAGAGAGAGAGAGAGAGAGAGAGAGAGAGTAGCAAGGGTGGGGTTACGAGCAGCAAACACGTGGCAGAACCAGCCCGGCAGATCAGGAGGGTAGACCTTAACTTTCGGGCCGGGAAGGCGGGCCCAGACGGCCAGGTCGAGCAGGCGGGTTGCTGAAGCGTGTGTCCTGCATGAATCGCAAGGGCATTTCGAGCGTGAGCGCGACTCCCAAAGAAATCGCGAGAAATCCACAGCGAGAGCGTGATTCTTGTTTGTCGAGGGCACGTCGTCTGAACATTTTGCGGGGAAGTCCCGCGCGAGAGCGCGATATGGGAATCACTGAGGAAGTATCAAGCGGGAGCTGTTGTTGTTATATGTCGGGTGCCAAGGGCGCAGTTTGGTGGCTTCACATTGTCCCTTGTTTTTTAAAAGGTGCGACAGCTTTGATTAATCTGTATAATGGCTACTGGAGGGGGGTCGACAAACATATTTGTGTTAGAGAGTAGCAGGAGGGGGGCTAGGAGCAAAAACGCGTTGCAGATCCAGGCGGGCAAACCAGGAGGGCAGACCCTAACGTGCGGGCCGGGAAGGCGGGCCCCGACGGCCAGGTCGAGCAGGCGGTTTGCTGAAGCGTGTGTCCTGCATGAATCGCAAGCGCATTTCGAGCGTGAGCGCGATTCCCCCAAAACATCGTAGAGAAATCCACAGCGAGAGCATGCTTCCTGAGTGTCGAGGGCTAGGCGTCTGAATGAATTGCGAGGAAGTCCAAGCCGACTGCGCGATTCCGGCATAAATTGTCCGGATGTCCCGTGCGAGAGCGCGGTGTGGAAATAATTCGTGGGGGAGTATCACGCGGAAACCTTTGATGTTGTAAATCGGTGGCCAGGAGCGGTTTGGTGGCATCTCGCGGTCCCTTTTTTATGAAGAAGGGGGACAAAACAGGGTGCGAGCCCCAGGAGGATACAATGGGTACCGGACGGGGGGATCAACAATAATTATTGGTTAGAAATGAGAACTCAACAACAACAACACCAACAACATCAATAACAACAACGACAGGAGCAACACACACAACAATCATTTTAACATTGTTCGCTCGTATCTGTTTGAGTGCCGTGCAACATGTATTTCCCAAACCCTCGATTCTCGCCCTCTTCGTCTTCGATCGTACCCCCTTCTGGGGAGTATCTATTTCCCTGCTGGCCGGGCCCCGGCAAGCGGCGGAGCGGCCGCGGACCGTCCGCCTGGCCAGCGGATGCCACAAAGAACATAGAACGCGGGGCCAGAAAGGGCAGCGACAGGGCCACTGAAGGCATGCAGACGGGGCCGCGAAAATCGCGAGCGAGCGGGAGCCACGAAGGGCACATAATACGGGGGCCTCGGACTGAGGGCAGCAGAGGGGCCATTGAGGGTACCAACGGGACCACGAAGGGCAGCAATGGGGCCACGAAGGGCGCGAGCGAGCACGGGCCACGAAAGGCATACATCTATGGGGCCAGAGAGGGCGACGGCGGGGTCACCGAGAGCAGCAAGGGGGCCACGAAGGGCAGCGAGGGGGCCACGAAGGGCGACAGCGGGGCCACGCATGGCATGCAGACGGGGCCACGACGGGCGCGTGCGAGCGAAGGCCTCGAAGAGCGTATCATGCCGGGCCGCAGAGGGCAGCGACGGGGCCAGTGAGGGCAGCAACGGGGCCACACAGAGCGAGAGAGAAGGCGATCGCGGAACCTCTACGGCAGCGACGGGCATCGAAAGCGGGCGAAAGGCAGCAAGAGCGATTGCAGTCCCTAGCGGGCGGATCGGGCGGGCTGGCCCCGACGGTCGGGTCGATCGGGCGGGTCGCTGAAGCGTGAGTCCTGCTTGAATCGCAAGGAAATATTTAGCGAGAGCGCAACTCCCACAGAAAACCGGGATGCTGTCCAAAACGAGAGCGCGATCCATGAATGTCGAAGGGCGGCATTCGAATAGATTTCGAGGGAGTCTGAAGCGAGAGCGCGATCCTTGAGCAGATCGCGAGGGAGGTTCAGGCGAGAACTGAGTTTCTCAATGCATATGGTGGCAACAGGCGGGATCCGCTGTTGTTGTTGTTGTTGTTGTTGTTGTTGTTGTTGTTGTTGTTGTTGTTGTTGTTGTTGTTGTTGACGAAACCACTAGCTGGCGGACCCGGCCTCCCCCCCCCCCCCCCCCCCCGCGCAACGCAGCGCAACGCAACGCAACGCTCTCCCCGCGCGCCCCCCCGCGGGGCGTACAGGGACCCGTACAGGGTTCTATAGGGCTCCCACAGGACCCCTACAGGGTTCCATAGGATTCCTATAGGACCCCTACACGGTTCCATAGGATTCCTATAGGACCCGTACAGGGTTCCTAGGAGGAGGAGGAAGAGGAGGAGGGGGAAGGGGAGGGGGGAGGAGGAGGAGGAGGAGGAGGAGGAGGAGGAGAGGAGGAGGAGGAGGAGGAGGAGGAGGAAGGGGAGGAGGAGGAGGGGGAGGAAGGGGGAGGAGGAGGAGGAGGAGGAGGAGAGGAGGAGGCGGAGGAGGAGGAGGAGGAGGAGGAGGAGGAAGGAGGAGGAGGAGGAGGAGGAGGAGGAGGAGGAGGAGGAGGAGGAGGAGGGGGAGGAGGAGGAGGAGGGGGATGGGGGGAAGGGGGAAGGGGAGGAGGACGAGGAGGATGTAGAGGAGGAGGAGGAGGAGGAGGAGGACGAGCCTCTAGAGGCCTCGGGCCCCGCCTCTCACGGCGCCTCCCCCCAGACCCTCCAGAGCGCCCCATCGGGAACCCAAGCGAGAACAATCCGTCTAGGATCCGTAAGGGATCCCATACAGTCCGTATAGGATCTGTATGGGATCCCATACAGTCCGTATAGGATCCGTAGGGGATCCCATACAGTCCGTATAGGATCCGTAGGGGATCCCATACAGTCCGTCTAGGATCCGTAAGGGATCCCATACAGTCCGTATAGGATCCGTATGGGATCCCATACAGTTCGTATAGGATCCGTAGGGGACCCCATACAGTCCGTATAGGATCCGTATGGGATCCCGTACAGTCCGTATAGACGCCGTATGGGATCCTATACAGTCTGGATAGGATCCGTAGGGGATCCCATACAGTCCGTCTAGGATCCGTATGGGATCCCATACAGTCCGTATAG